GGATAGTTGTTCTGTTAATTAATTGGCAATAAAGAGTAGAGTTTTTATCCTGAATTTTTTTGTTGAGTCACCTACATTGATCAAATTTCTTTGCCATTGATATTACTGACAATATCATTCTTGACTACATGCATCAAAATATTGTGTTCTTGGGCACACACACACACAAACACACACACAAGTCAACCCAAAAGTTGTTAAAAATAGGGCTAACACCAGTTATAGCAGTAAAGTCAGTAGATTATAAGCAGCTTCTGAAAAGCTGTACTCTTCATTTGACTTTTTTTCACCATCTTCATTTTGACAGTGGGTTAAGGTTTTTATCTAAAACATTTGTTTTGTTTATGTTCCGCTGAGAAAATAAATTCTCCCAGGAGTAATGTGCATGCTAATGTAATGCCATTGAGAGTTGTGAACTACTACCATAATGTGTGTTTAATAAATTTCCATTATAAGGTAGAATCAGAGCCATTTAAAACAACAACAGATTTGTCATTCTAACACTAGAAAACAAACTGTACTTGACCACATACACCCTCTCTTAGGCTAGATTCTCCCCTGCAGTCCAAGAGGAACATGGAAAATGCAAACAGCGTTTCTCTAAGACTATGAGTCAGACAGGAAAATCAGAGAAGGAGACACTGTGGCTGAACACATTAATAGACACTGCCAGTAACAGCTGAGCTATGAGCCCCTGACCATGTGCAGAATGTGTTAGTCTAAGGGGACAGGGTATAGGAGGGATGAAAGGAGGACTAGAGTACTACTCTATACATCCTCAATTATACTTTCCCTGGTTTCAGTTACCTGCAGTCAGTTATGATCCAAAAATATCACAAGGAAAATTCGAGAAATAAGCAATTCATAAATTTCAATTTTCACATCATATTGAGTGGCATGATGAAACTTTGCACCATCCAGCTCCATCCTGCTCTGGAAGTGAAACATCCTTTTGTCCAGGTGTGTCTATCACATGCATACTACCTGCCTGTAGAGTAATCACCAAGTGATTACTTGGTGGCCCTCTTAGTTATACAATCAGCTGAGAAAACATTGTAGAGTTTGTCTTCAACTAACTTTTACTTTACTTCATAATGGCGTCAGAGTGCAACTAGTAATGCTGGCAACTGGGATATGATACTGTTATGGTTTTTATCTGGATGTCCTGCCAAAGCCTCATCTGCTCAGAGGTGGGGCTTATGGAAAGTGATGGATTATGGGGGCACCACAGCTGGCTTGGTGTTAGATGGTGGAGTCTAGTCATAACAGACAGGTCACAGAGGGCATGATCTGGAAGAGCAAATCTCCTGTCTGGCTCCTTCCTTCATTTTGTGCTTCCTGGCTATAATTAGGTGAGCAGCTTTCCTCTGCTGTGGCCTTCCACCACCCCTTCCTGCCTTGGTCCCACATAACTATAGACTAAAAACATGAGCCAAAAGAAACCTCTCCTCCTTTAAATTGTGGGTGTCAGGTATAGTAACTCAGCAATGAGAAAGTGACTAAGACAGCTCCCTCTTTGTGACAAGGTAGAAGTTTATCATAGGTATAAAGAAAAACATAGTGAACCTGGGGTTCAGCACTAGACATGGTTTCAGGTATAAACAGGGGTCTTGGAAGGTATCTCTCATGTTAAGGTGGACCACTGACTTCTGCTGCCTTGTTCTTGGCAATTACTCCCTAACAGCTGACCCGACCACGCCTCAATGCAGAATTTCTCAGGCAACTGTACACTAACTTTATAGAAGTATTCATCTTGAAGTGATGCATAAGGAAATGAAATGGACATTCATTGTGTCTATTAATACAAACTCTCTTACATCTCCTAGCATTTCATGAATGCTTAGGACACAATCTACACATTTTAGTGGGAGTTGGAACCCTGTGTCTGAGGTTCATGAGTTCCACAATGAGGGTATCTTGGGACCCAAGTGTTGCTGAATGTTTTGGGAGCCAAAGGGAAGTCAGGGCTTTTGTTAGAAGGGGGGGCATTAAGATTTTTTAATATAGGATAAAGTTAATCTACTTCACAATTCTGTCCAGAGCTTACCTTGACCTTAAAATTTGATAGCTCACACACACAGAAAAGTAATTAACCATAAATTCCCTAAGCCAGAGTTCATTCAGTCTATCCATTTTCTTTTCTTTTTTTTTTTTTTTTGTGCCTGAGATTGAACTCGGGACCTTGCGCTTGCGAGGCAGGCACCGGAACCACTGAGCTAAATCCCCGGGCCCAGTCTATCCATTTTCTTGACCCTATGTTGTACTACTAATGTACTTTTCACTCTTGAAATCTAACCAGTTATTTGGGGGAATAGAATTTATGTATGTGTATATTTTGTATATCATCCTTTCCTGAAACAATGGTCCACACTCAGGGAGCCTACGGGTTTCTCATCAGTAGAGTAGCAATGTCTTTATTCTTCAACTCTTTTGACTCTATCTTATTTTTACTCTTGTTATGTGAGTCTTGTAAACATTCCAACACTATTAATTTCTTCTGCCCCAAATTATTACTACCCTATAGATAACAGCAATGATTTTAATTGACATGTAACACATATACACTATATCAAACTATATATTAAAACACAGACATAGACATAGAGTTTCACTATCACAGAGAACATTCTGATGTTACAGCTGGCAATTGTTATGCTAACTAAAACTATGCCAACTATAAGTATAATAATTAAAAATCAAGAAATTATAAGTTCTAAACAGTAAACACCAGTAATTTATTGTCCTCAGTAAAGATAGCCTGAGTGAGTAGAAACCATTCATATTTGTGCATAATCACATTAAAAGTATCTTCTCAAAATGAAGATATTTTGATATGAACTGCTATTGATTATTGAGCCACTAACACTGTAATGAGTTTTGGAAAACATTACAATCATCAAACCTAAACATATTTCTGATTAAAACAAATCCAGCCATGAGTATGCAGATCAAAAGGAAAAATGCTCTTGATACATTGCTGTTTGTTTTAGGCCTCTACCCCTTTTTGCAGAAATCTCCAAGAGATACTAAAAAGCCAGTAGAGTGTACTGGGTGTTAAAGCTTCTAGGTTAACTACAATAGCCTCTGTGAAATCCTGGATTATAAGTCACTGTTACAATCCATGCCCAGAAATCCACCTATTCATATTGTTTCTGAGAAGGATTGGTACAAAGGTATACTGATAACCATCTTTAGGGATGGCTGACTAGAAAATATAAATATTTCCTCAAAAGGGGGGGAAAGGAGTGAGAGAAAATTTTCAGCACTTCTCCATTCAGCATGTAGAAATTTAGACAAATTATTATAGTCTTTAAAAATGAAGGCGACGAAAGTGTCCACCTCTAATTATTATTAGGGTCATTGAAAATTTTATGAAAAGCACTTTGAAAACTCCAAAAGTGTTTTAAAACTAAAATATGATTGTAGCTATTGTTTTTCTTGAAGTATTGTAAGCTTCATTGTTTCCCACTTTAATATAGCTGTGCTTTGGTTTTCCATTTGTCTTCCAGAAGTCTGAACTATCTTCTAATATATATATATGTTATATATATATATATAATATTTATTAATTTCCTTTGGGATTATTAGAAGTCCAGTTAGCTGCTAAATCTCCTTATCTCCACCTGAATAGAAGCCACCCAGGAGTACTCTTTCTGATAACCTTTAAAACCATACAACAAACCCCTTTTGGTGTTTATGTGAGTGAGTGGTTGTGTAGGTGAAGGACAAAGTTAAACATATTACCTTGGCCATCTACCAACTAGGGATGTCAATAGCAGACATGGGGAACACAGAAAAATGAATTTATTTTAATATAGAACAGATAGTAAATAAAAAGAGTGTACCTTGTCCTTTCTTTCTGATAATTTGTAACATCAAAAGTAATAAAGCTTTTTACCTGCAGTCCCTTAGTATATATATTTAGAGGTAAACTCATGAAGTACAAGAAGTATATTTTAAATTTTTCTTTTTCCTTCAGAACATAGCACAACTCTTCATATATACCAGGCACTTAAAAAAGGTTGAGTGAAATATACAAATCATTGTGAAATTGGAAACTACCCCCTAAAATATACTAAAATTTTTTTGAATTATTAACTAGGTATTTAAAAATGCAAAGGAACATGAACGAATGTACACACATGTACACACTCACAACGCAAAAGACATAACCCCTCCTAAAAGAAATGAAATTATATGAAACCAGAGATATATACAAATACATAAGAGAAAATTATTCAAAAGCACATATTTGAAAAATAAATTAATTTTCAATTTTGGTTGGTAGGAAACAAAAATAATCAATAATATATTCTTTATTTTCAGTAACCTAAGTTTCCAGGAATCGATTATAGTGAGTAAACAACCTCTGAGTGGCGGAGTGATTAATATTTATATTGAAATATTGACTTATCACGTGTACTTGGATAGGTCGTGTTATCTTACCCATGCCTCTGTGTCTTCGAAGTGACAACACTATTTGCCTTCTCATCCGCCTCCTCTGCAAGGATGCTCTGCAAATAAATGAGGTAATGTTTGGGAAGTGTTTGCAGCTTGAGATGGAAACCCACTGCATACAACCAGGGCATGCTTTCTCTTCCACATTCAAGCCTGGTATATTACTGCCTCTATTTTAAATGGAAATTGCACTGTTTGAGTCCTCTGATTGTGACCGATACCTGGGTCGACCTGAGAGCATGATTATTTTTAATTTTAATACTGAGATTCTGTTCGAATCCCCTGCACGTGCGGGGAAAAACTGTAGGAAATAAACAAAGCACATAAATCAAGCTTTGAAAGAGAAAAATCCTCTCTCTGGAAGGATTTTAATTAATTTATTTATTTTTTCAATGAGGAGCATGAACACTGTGACTCCCTGAAGGAATATTTCGGTCCAGGAAAGATACTGCATGCACAGAGCGTGCGTGCGTGCGTGCGTGTGTGTGTGTGTGTGTGTGTGTGTGTGTGTGTGTCCGTGCGTGCGCGCCCGCGGAGAGGGGGGCGGGGGAGGCGGATGAGGAGGATGAGATCATAGTTTCAGGATCCTCAGGAAACCCTGGTACTGGCAGCAGCCAGCCTCTGCTGTGCCCACATGACCCACAACTCTGGCAGAGGACCCGGCACTTCTAACATTATTAAATAATAAGAAAGCTGCTCCTACTCCATGCCCAAGCCTCCCTACAGACCAATGGACACCTTCTAAGAGTTTGGCGAGTCGGTGACTGAGGCGCCCGTCCTTTCCAAGGTGTGTGCACGGCGATTTCTCGCTGACACCCGGCGTGGGGGAGGGCGCGGACACCCACCGAGGGTCGCGGTGCCGGGAGGGGTGAGCGCGGGCCAAAGGCTGCCCGGTGCCGCGGAGCCCGCCGCGGGTGCACACGACGCGCAGCCCTGCTGCGCAGGGACCGCAGCCGCCCACGGCGCCGGGCAGAACGCGCTGCCGGCTCCGGAGAAGGGCAGGCGCCGCGCCGGGCAAAGTCAGGAGCGGCGCGGGCGGGAGCCGCGAGCGCCAGCGGGGGCCGGGGGGGCGGGGGGGAGTCGCCCCAACGCCCACTCGCCACTCGCGGGCTCCCACCTGTGCGGGCGCCGGCCGGCATGTGCTGCAGCCCCGGCTGCGGTGCGGCGCCTCCCTCGGCGGCGGGCGGCGCCTCGGGCCGGGCCGGCGGTAGCGGCTGCTGCGGGGTCGCCCGCCTGGCGGTACCCGGCCAAGCAGGTAACCTCTCTCGGCCCCCCGCGGAGGCCCCGCCGCGCCGCCTCCCCGGGGTGGCGGAGGCAGCCGGTCCCTCGCGTCGCGTCGCGTCGTGGGATGAGTTGTTTTGCTGAGCATAGCTGCCCTCTGCGCCGCCCTCCAGGGCTGAGCTGCGGGAGGTGGCGTGGCCTGCCCCCCGGGGATGACACTCACGTTGGGGAAGAGTCCGCGGCCAGCGGAGCGGACTGGCCAGGAAGCCCAAGACACGCTCGCTCCCTTCTGGCCAGCGGCGCCCGCCAGTGTTGCAATGCACCGCGGGCCGGCGGGATGGCGAGGGGCCGGGCGGCGGGAGGTGGGCTTCGGCTCAGAGCTTCGGCGTTTGCAGGCTGCGGCTCGCTCTGGAGTGGACGGAAGGCTGCACGGGGGACAGCCGGGCTAGAGGTTCATTCTGGTACCCGGGGGAGGTGGAAGGTGGAGAGAGGCGTCGGGCCAAAGCCAAAGAGAGGAGAGAGGTGAGGGAGGTGCTGGGGCTTGGGTTCCATTCCCGGGACTTGACAGTAAAACTTTGCTCTTCTTCGGGCTTGGAGTATGGCTTTAGAAAGGTAAGTGCAGAACTTGGGGGGAAAATATTGCATCGGATGTCCACTTGTACCAAAGGAATCCCTCTCCCACCTCGTTAGGTTCCTTGTAACTCTAAAAAAATTGGTCTTTGGATGCTTAGATTCGAGTTTTCCAAATTACCTGTCCTGATACGCAATATGCTTGTGTTTCCATTTGAACATAAGAAATACCAGTATTGTTGAAGTGTACTAGTTATTAATTTATTTTACAAAAATATGTATGTTTTGCTTATGGTAAGGATAGAAACTTTAGAGGAAAAAACCCAACTCTCCATATGTTCTATAGTTCTATGTCATTCAGCATTATTCATTCTCTTCATTCTTACGCCATTATAGGGTTAAGTAATAATGCAATCCACCTTTCATAGATGAGAAAATTCAGGAACAGAGAGATGAAATAACTTACCCAAGGTCATCCAGTGTTAATGTGTTAAAGCCCAGCACTGTACCAAATATTTTCTATATATGATCTATTGACCACTTCTTCCTATAAAAATGAAACTCTTAACCAACTACCGGCTACAAATTCAGAGCAATTAACTTTTTCTAATTTTTAATATTATATGCATGCCAAATATCTTTTGAGTACTTCCCTTTTGTCACAATCAACCAAGTTTCCTACAATAAATATAGATCAAAGTAGTGTTTAATAACAAAGTTAAGATTTTCAGCAGTTAACATTAACCAACAATTTATTATAAAGCAGATGAAATAAACTATATATTTGTTTATGCTTAATTTTGAACTTTTAAATTATTCTATTCTTTGTTCAAAGCATGATTATAATTTTATTCAGAACACCATTTTGCAGAATTTTTGCACTAGATTAATTATCTTTGATCCAATTACCCTGGCAAGAATTTGGGCGATTTTAAAAGAAGAATTATGAAATTCTCTTTTGACTGTGAGTGATTAAAAAATGGATGGGTGTATTTTGAGGGCATTCGTGTGTATCATGTCTTTTAGCCAATTTGATGTACTTTCAACAAAACTCTATAGCAATGAAGGCTAAAACCAAAATTTCTCATTAGTTCTAACTGGAAAGACTTTTAACATTTCCACTTGTTTTAAACAAACCATGTTGTGAAGAAAGGTCTCAAAAGGATGGACTCCAACTTCACATATTTAGAGAATTACTCTTCATTTGAGCTTATCATAGAGTTCTCATATCTGCTTTATCAGACAGATGTCTCTCTCAAGGCTTCGTCTGTTATTTTTACAAGTAAATTTAATTGCTTCTTCATACGAATTCCAAACTTATTTTGACATGCATAGATTTCCTTTAATTCTTGTTGTTCAGTTTAATTAAAGTCAATGTACATAATTTCAAACTCACACTTTCAACATTATAAGTTAAAAGAAACTAAATTTCAGATGAATTACATGATCATCAAAACATGACCTATGGACAAAAGAATAATCATCCAGCTCTTGGGTGATTAACCCTGCTCTTCTCTGCAACACAGCCAAATTATGGCTACATCTTTCTTTATCTGGGGATGCTAGAATGCAGTCCTTTAGCCAGCATAGTTGTATCTCATCAAGAACAAGTATTTTTGATGTTCAAATTGAATTTGAATTTTCCAAATCTGTCATTTAAAATGTTGTTTGTTATTAAGACATAAATCCCCCTGCACCTGCATTTTCTGTTACTTATTTTAGACATGACATCCCCTTGCTACTTTTATCTCACTTGGTGCTTCTGATCTGACTTTCCTTTTAAGTTCTGCCTCTGGTTTAAGGAGAATTGTATTTTCTCTGCCTCTGCAGCCCCTTTGTTCTAGGGGCTGGGTAGAAAACTAGGGTTTGGGGTGAGCAGAAAGATGTGTGAGTGCTGACAGCTCAAGGGACAGGCTTTAACACGATATTGTAAAAATGAATAATTGAGGTGTATTTCCTGAATGCAACAAGAAATTCTACTGAGAATATGTATGGGAGGGCTGAATTACGCATGAGGTCAGAACAGGATGCACAATAAGTGAAAAGTTACATATTTGTGGAGGAATGATGTGTACAAAGGTCCTTGCCAAGTCTAGTTATTTTCATAAATGGTTGCATGTTAATTTTTGGAATTCTTTTCTGAATCAGAGACATGAATTCTGGTTCTCTCTTTACTTCTCTATTCACAAAAGACATTTCCCCACATCATCCACCTGTGGATGGGGAGGTTTACAAAGCTCCTTTTAGTGCCTTTAAAAGCACACAGAGCCTGTGCTACCCATATCTGATTATTATCCTATTTGGGAAAAGTTATTTAGGTTTTATGAACAATAGTAATTTTCTGTTTTCTTTCTATGCATTAGCAACTACTTTTAAGCTTTAAAAAATAGTTTTTATTGCACCCTTTGGTTGTTGATAGTGGTATGGTGTGTCAAATAGAATTTTAATTGATTAATTACACAGTCCTTAAGATTCTCTGAAGTGGTCAAGGTAAAAGAGGAGAATCCAGACTAAGCAAGATGAGGTTGTGTGTTAAATATGCTGAAGGAATAGCTATTAACCAGTTAAAAGAAACAAGAATAACTAAATTTTTTGAACACTGCTATGTGCTATGCAGCATTCTATGGTCTTTATATGAATGAATTGATGTACAATTCACAATAGCCTATGCAGTTTCTATATACTATCACTATTACCTTCTATTTTTTGAAAGGAAAAGCTGAAGCATGACAAGGACAATAGCCATGGTCACTGTCACATAGTTAGAGCTGGGCTTAAACTCAAGCCTAGTGGTTCCATGGTCTATACTACTACTTAGTAATATGTAACACCTGGTTCAAAAATTTTCTGGTGCATCAGTTTTCCATCATTGTTTAAAATTGTAACACTCCTATCTTGATTTTTTAAATTATTTCTTTCTTATTAAAAATTTAATGGAAAAGTAGAACTTTTATATCAGTATCTTTTGCCTCATATTTTACAGGCAAAGGATGTACAAAACAAGAAGAGATGTGACTGTCTCTACAAAGACTAGAGGTAGCTAGATTTTGAGAAAAGCTCTGTTGTATATCATTTATTTTTAAATTAAAAAATGGTCCATACCATTTAAAACAAATGGTTTAGAATTGAGAATTTATACAATGATCATTTAATGATTAGAGAAATATCTTTAACAGACAGATTCTGTGACCATTAATAAACTTAAGAATTTAAAGTCATTTGTATGATCTTTCCCCAATGTCTTTGTCCGGAGCAAGCGCTGTAACAGTGATAAAGTATAGGATAAAAACCCTTACTCAGTTAACTTGGTAAGATTTTAAAATGCTGTTAATTTTTACACTGGGATGTTTTGCCATGAAATAAAATAACTATAATAAAATTATAGAGAAAAATTGGGGGATTTTAAGTATTATTTAAATAATATTGTTAAGCTATGTAGCATGGTATATGTCTTTAACAAAGTGAAAGATGGATTAGTTAAGTATGGTATTGTATAAAAAGATCTTTACTGGACATCTGGTGATAAATGTTAGTAAATGCAATTAAATCTCTGCAAATTATGGTAGCATGCAGTTGATAGGATTAGTAATAATAACCATGAAATTCATAAATAGTTTACATGTACAAATGTTTGCATCTCTTCTCTGAAGCTCTTGGAAATGCTCAAGGCAGCCAATATATTTTTAGTGATTTACATATCCTGATGAAAAATGTAATATAGCACTTTTCTACATGTTCAGCTTCACACAAAGACTAAAGTAACTAATAAACTATTGCTCTGATTTATACCATAAGTAAATGATACAAGGCTTGATTTGACTTTTTCTTAAAGTGCATGTGTACATTGAGTACACCAATGTATAGTGTATTAACTAACATTGGCAACTTATCACAGTGCAGTACCTTATTGCAGAATTTTGTGTGTTAAATGTAAATATAAAGTATATTAATTAATGGTAGCAGTTTAGGTTTTGCTGTGGTAACAACTGCAAAATC